CCCCCGGCCCCCCCCCCCCCCCAGCTACGGGCCTGGTCCGAGGCAATCCCGAAGACTGGATCGAACTGCGAGGACTTGAAATCTAGTCCAGGATTTGAAATGACATCTCATACGAATAAATCACTACTCAAAGCATAGACAATCCAGAAGACATTCCAGAAGATGTCTTCTGGATTGTCTATGCTCAAAGTGAGATGAATTAATTTTGATCCAGCCCAAGGACAGGATCAATATACTTCACCAGGTATTCAGTGTTATCACGTGAGCAAAATAAAGCAATATGGTTGGCTCATGTATTATTAATAAGTTTGAGATTAACTTGTGGCATGTCAACAAGGTGATAACAACTTGTTCCAGACTTGTCACAACTGGGAACAAGCTTGTGCGTTTTTGCGTGCGTACAGCGCTTACGGAAAGGTTCCATCCCTAGCATCCTTCTCTCTCATGAAAACGAAGCTTACCTATGACTCTCCTGCAACATACTTGCTAACTCGTTCAATTGTTGTAAGTTTTCCCTCTGTTGATCCAAACGTTGTTTGAGCTTGTAATTGTCGTCCTGGAGGACTTGATAGTTATTTATTGCTTCGTCTACAAGTGAAAACATATAAAGCCTGTCGTAGTTTGTTTCAACTTGTCTCTGTATAATGGAGTACTCAGCGTCTTTGGTAAACATTTTCGCTCAAAGTCCGTACATACCCGACTGCCTCTGTCTTTCATACACTGTGTCTTTCTGTGATTCAAGTTTAGCCTTGAGAGATTGATTTTCTTCCTGGATTTGTTTAAAACGTTCATGAAGCGTTGTCTGTGAAAGAGACGGAAAATATTTTCTCACGATCCATTATAAAGTTTAAAAATGTCAAAATGCTACTCTAACTCACCAATTCTTGGCTGGTTTCCTCAAACTGTTGTTGTTTTGCTTTCTCCATCTCCAGTTGACCATGAATGGCAGAATATTCTTCTTGCTGTTGTGTCAGCTGTTGAGAAAGTCTGTTCAGTTCCTCTTCCTTCACCAGCATCTCTTGTCGTAATTTCTTCAAGCTTGTTACGTCACGTTCTGGATATTCTGTTGCCGCTTGGTACGACTTGAGCACATCAATGGCGAGCTCTGGTCAAATATAAACATACCCAGGTAGTTTCTCCGTACCGTATTTGACTAGTTTCATTATTTTTTATATACTGGATAGCTCCAATTTCAAACTGTTACCCCTAGAGGTCCAGTAACGGCCTTCTCTTAGTGGTTATATATAGTGTTCCCCTTTGTGAATGGCGTCAGTGCATATTTTAAATGTTTTACAGTGGATGCCAAAACCAAGATTAGGGACCAGTTTGGGTTCCCCAGAGTAAGTCTGCCCCTCCCATATGTATGTTAAAAAATGCTTTGGGGTTAAATTCCTGCAGTTGTCTGATTGTAATTTCGCCTTAGTAGTATATGAGAAGAGCGCTTCCTGTTTCAGATCACAAAAAAAAACCCAGACTTTCTCCGATTATAGTCTAACGCTGGATGGCCCTTACAGGACTTCTGGGGAGAACAGTCTGGAAGTTCAGGACATGAACAAACCTTTAAACTTCGTGTGATTATGAAGGGATTTTGATCCATTCCAATATTTATCCACGAGATCCACCAGTTTATGTAAAAGACGTAATTCATTGTTCACGGCATTTGAAGGATGTGACTACAAACAATTATTAAGTTATTAAGAATGTAGTGTAGGGACCGTTTGCATAAATGGCAATGCAAAATTAAATACAAGTCAATTCAATGAATGAATGAATGAATGGTATGACGAAAAGTGGGATTTTGAAAACAATAAAAACACAAAGAACATTCCAATCACTGGATCATGATTGGATAGCACTACTGTGTAATTATGCAAAGGGCCATTGAATACTGAGCGAAATTTTGGAATATACGTAAATTTCTAGTCGCAATATGAAGATAACGCTCCAGGTATTTTCAGTTCAGTGATGTAGAAATGTAGGAGGTACCTGGTCTCCTTGGTTACGACTGGATGACGAACTGGTATCATGTGATAGGAAGACACGTTCTTCGTCCATACCAGGCCTTTCATCGTGATCTCTAAATCTCTCGTGTCCAGTCTGCTGGCCGTGACCTGACTCCATTGAGTCTTCAGGCACATCACTATCATGCTCAGCGGTCTTTTGGTAGGGTGCAAGTCGTGGGGTGGGGGTAAAGGTACCCTGCGCAGTGTATGGAGCATAATACGGATCCAGGGGTGCACGTCTCTGAGGTTTTTGTGTAGCGGGGTGAGATACTGGTTTGATGTTACCATTAAAGTCAGTGGGGTGGGGCCTGGGTGGTTTCTGATGATGTGTGGACGGGTTTTTTCGTAAATCTCGAGGAACGCTTTTTTCTTCGTCCATTATATGCATGTTGGCCAGTTCTAAAGAGTAGTAGCATGTCACGATCGGAGTTTCATTCCCATTGCATGTGAGATGAGAACTCAATAAACACCAGCTAGAGCATAGTCATGAAAAGGCAGCTTGTTTTAGAATTGTCTGTGTCTAGACAAACTATCTGTATAGTTCCTGTGCTCAGCATATGCCTTTACTACTGTCGTGACTCATCTCCAGTATAAATGACATAAATAAGCTTTAGTCTACCTTGTCTTGGATAATCTTCCACATCAGGAAATTTACTGTTGGAGCCAGAGATAAAGGGTCTGGAATAATCATCTTTTCTGGTGATCGCGTCAAGTAACACTACGTCATCATTGTCCAAGGCTAACAATAAATATATTCGTATACATATATCTACATAATCTAATTCACCTCACTTTGTATTTATAACAGTAATTACTGCAGTGTAGGGCTTACCAGACCTAGGACCCAAATTTCTAACCAATTCTGCACGTGGAACGTTGAATCTAAAATATTATAAGTATTACTACAAAACACGATACATTACTAATGCGCAAGGACTACCAGTGCCAACAGTATGGTAGATACTTCAGCGCACATGTTGGTCTCGTGAGAAGTACACAGACGACAAGTTGGGATAGGAGTTGGCAGTCCTTATCACTTGTGATAGGCAACCACTATTACCACAACTATTGTAAGAGAAATATTGTTATCATGATTTTTGTCTTCATCATCTTTGATTTCCATAAAAATGTGAGTCAGTGTACCAACTAATACCTACCTCTCGTTGCTTGTGGTGTAATCATCTTGAAATCTGTCATCTGTAAACTCCGAAGCCTGGAGAACGTAACATCATGGCGTTACTGACACTTACGAGAGAAGTTACTGGACACTATGCAAGTGGCATTCGTACAACGTTTATGAAGAAAAATACAATAGATGTATATTCCGCTCGTTCTTTATTACCTGGTCTGTATTAAAATGCATCAAGGCTGCCTTTCTTTCACTATCTCTCACTGATCTGTCATCTAAATTCATCAAAGTTCAATTAATCCTCCACAAATTTGCCAAAGAAACGTACCTTCATACACATTTGAACAGTCTGTGCCAGTGAAGGTAGTGGCAATCATACAAGAAAGCTTCCGATTGATAGGGATGAAATATACAAGGAGAACTTCGACGTTTCGAGCGAAAAGCCATGAAATTTTCCCGACCTCCGCTGCTAACTTCAACGACGAAGGGCCTTCGCTCGAAACGTCGAAGTTCTCCTTGTATTTTTCAGGTAGTTATATCCCTATCAACCGAAGCTTTCTTCATACATATTGTTAATTAGATAATGAAGTTCACGACACACACGAGTATTTGTAACCTACCAAGTTTTTTCAGACTGGGTAACATGTGAATGAGAAACAATCTGTGATCTGGTTCATTCTTTGTCGCTGGGTTCAACCTGATATCAAGTTCCTGGAGACAGACAAGAAAGGGGGGTATGCATTGGTCTACTCAAGCTTGTAAGTTGTAAATGTCTAAAATTTTAGCCATGGCTATTGAAAACAGGCGTAATTTATAGCCACAAATCCTGGCTATAAGATATGCCGTAAACAGGTGTACTTTATAGCTGCAAACCATGGGTATCAGGAATGCTGAAAACTTACTAACTTTAGTTGAACAGACTGAATAAAAAAAAGACTGAATAACTTGGAGACAGAAAAGTAGACTTTACTATACCTTTAAATTTGTCAGCGTTCTTAACTGATAGAGGTCTTTCAATGTTGATATGTTGTTGTAATATCTAAGTTGAGTTAAGGTTTACTAAACCTGGCTTGTACAACTAACTGCTACTATACACTCCTACAACTCCTTATATGGCACTCAGCAAGGATGATTGTCATGACATAAATGAACTACTCATATTTAGGCCATTGAGCGCCAGCACTCTCCCCTTGACAAGTAAAATCAACTGAAGAAATACAGAAGAAGATTGATGTTTATATATTGATAATACTCCATCTGCACAGATAATAAAAGGCACAGCCACCATTAACCACTGATTTAACATTATACCAACATATTGTTTTCATATTAGATACAAGTTAAGAGTTTCCAACATTTGTAAATGACCAATGCCCTAGGAATGACAATCAAAACATCATTAAACTACCATGTATCTGACAATCAAGTAAGTGTGTATTTTACAGTAAAAGTAGAGTCAATATCTACCTCTAAGTTGCAAACTAAATTTCTTGAAAGATCCAAATGTTTGAGTCTGGTGAAGCTATGAAGTGCCGTGCCAAGGTACGAGACTTTCTCATGGTATGAACCAGGCAATGATAGAGATTTCACATCATCTTGGGAGAAAATAACATCAGATTACTTTCTCAAAAAAGCAATGATGAAGGAATAACGACAAATATATTTAAATACGTAGCATGATTGACGTTGATGTGAAATAGGTCAAAATTTATCAATTGGTGGTTTGCGATCAAATCATTGAGATTTACAAGACAAAAATATGGCAGCCAATTTGGACGAAAACGAATATTAAAAAGCTTTCATTGGTAGGGATGGAACTATCAGAAAAATATAAGGAATTTTTCTTATATTAAAATTCTCCTTATATTTTTCAGGTAGTTGCATGCCTACCAATAAAAGCTTTTTAATATTATTGGCACTACCTACACTGGCACAGACAGTCCAAATACTGCTAGTAATGATGAGCACAAAAATATTGTCTGTTCTCATATGCTCAGCAGTCAGCACAATGAGCACATGAGAATATGAATAGACAATATTTTTATCCCGAATTTTTCATCCTTAATAGATGCAAACCTGCCTCACTGTATACTGTATTTTATAGTTATATACACCGCATATGTATTACAAATACTAATGGATTGTATGCATATATACAGATGTACATGTACTATCAAAATATGTCTAAATAATGTACACGAATACACGTATTTTATGAATCATATTTGCACAATTAGAGATAAAAACACAAACTATATCAAAAGAACAACTAAGTACACAAAACATGGCACAAAAATAATCACAAATTTCAACATTGTACCCAAGTGATCGTGTTTTAGATGAACTCGTTGTCTAATCCACTCCTCGTCAATTTTTAGCGCCATCTTGATTTTTGAATTTCGAACAAAAACCACGTGACATAAATATAGTACCTAGTTCTCTTGCACGAGCAATCAAAGAGCTCTATATATCACTGGAGTATAAATATGATCGATATTATAGAACAGCGAGTTGAACAGTAATCGATAATGATCGATGATCGACTATGTCGCATATGACGTCATACTCACCAAGTGCTAGTCCAAAATTGAGCAAACCTACCAAAGCCAGCCTGCGTTCCCAATTTGCATTCGCTTGCAATTCATCGTCCATTTACGATTGTAACAATAAATTTCCAACTGTTACCATTTAGTATTTAATTTAAAGAATAAACTCAACAACAAATACAAGAAGCTAGCCAGTGCTAAACAAATTTTTCAGGCCAATGGTTCTGGACAATGTACAACATGGGTCGTCTAATAATGACGTGAACTCAAAACTCATCTTTAAAAATTTCACATAAACTAGAAGCCGGCCTGTCGACTTCACACGGACAATAATATAGCGTGTGCAGAGACTGTATGTACACACGCTGAAAATAATATTACTTTGAAAAAAAAAGTTTGTATGACCAAAGTTTGTTTTCTATTAAAAGTCCAAACTTCGCCTTTCAACTATTAACAACCAGAACTGTACAGCAAAACAGACAAGGAATAGAAACAAACATTACACACTAAATAACAAATAAAATGTCAGTTTTAAGTTAAGATTGAGCTTTTAATGCGACACTTTCTCCAAACTTGATCATTTTGATAAATGCAGCGATGGAGGGGCTTGCTGTTTGGATTTTGATCTGTTGATGTTGTAGAGATGAGGTGGGTTCCAGCTAAGTGTCTTATATAGTGCTACACATGATGGTCAACTTCAAATGTATTCCCACTAACGGGAGCTAGCATTAGATGTACTTGCCAGCAAACATATCAATACATCTACGCCTAGTTCATGTGCCCAACCCAATTCAAAGTGTCAATTAAGAATCAATTAACGTTTAATTAAGTTCGACACCAATACAATTCGAAACTAGTCATGCCTAATGTATTTATAGTTCGACACGGCGTTGATTCAAACGCCAAACCTATCCGAAACTAATGAATTTGAGCGAGAAAAGCTCCATTCTAAACAATTCTATCCCATGTATAAATTAATTAAATCCAACAAATAACTTAATTAAATTCGACGTTTGAATCCTTCGAATTATACCGTGGAACTTAATATGTATTGGGTTGGGCACATCACACAGTTGCCCACCATGTGTGCCAGTCACACTTGGTCAATCTCTAACATCTTATGTTGCGGGAGGACCGGTGACCGGGGGGTTGTTCGTTGATGTAATAGCAGGGGTGGCTGATGTGCTGGCGGCACCGTTGGCTGCACTGGAGTTCGGAGACTGAGAGTTGTTTAACTGCTCATTTTTTACAACAGGGTCTAAAAAAAGATACGAGACATTGGTTAGTACATGCGTCTTTTACCTGTGAGGTTCAATTCCTGCAATATGCAGCCATATCATCATAATTTCACCTCAGTCACGTGTTGCATAACAAGTACCACAGGGCTTCTCCAGTAATTCCATGTAGAAACACTGGAACAACGAAAGATGGTCCTTACTGGACCTCTAAGATAGAACTATCCACCATAAATAAACTTAATTTAGTTTGTATTTCCTCATGTAGCAAGCGTTACTGGGCCTCTAGGAGAACAGTTTGGAAAGAGCTAAAACAAGTTAAATATATCCTGTAAACTTACAGAAATATGGATGATCCATCGCCTCCCTAGCTGTCAAACGTTCCTAGAACGGGATAAAAGATTATTACAGTCAAGTGATCAGAGAATAACGCAGAAATGAAAGTTCACCAAATCGGGAAAATCGATAGAAGCAGGATTAAGATGGTTTCAGCACGTTTGAAGACGAAAGCCACATTACCTATGGATCGAGATGCGAGCTTGACCTGACCTACAATGATGTGATACCAGAATGGTGACGATAAACAAATGTAAATTTCTAAGAATTGGTCATATATTCTCGAATAACAACAATTGTAAATTTCTAAGAATTGGTCATATATTCTCGAATAACAACAATGGTAAATTTCTAAGAATTGGTCATATATTCTCGAATAACAACAATGGTAAATTTCTAAGAATTGGTCATATATTCTCGAATAACAACAATGGTAAATTTCTAAGAATTGGTCATATATTCTCGAATTTCGCTATACCTGCATATCATAATGTAACAGTTTGTCAAGAAGATCAATTGCTTCGGGACTGACAAGATGTTCATTCTCAGAATGAATAAACCTTTCCCACCTTTTCCTGGAATGTCTGAAACACAAACAGAATAAACACAATAAATATATGACAAAACATACTCAAAATAGAAGTGTAGTCTACAGAGAAAGTTTCGGATGATAACTTCAATGTTTTGAGCGAAGGCCTTTCGTCACTAACATTCCGACGAAGGTCCTTCGCTCGAAACGTCGAAGTTCTCCTTGTATTTTTCAGGTAGTTGTATCCCTATTAATCCGAGCTTTCTTATTATTGCCACTCCCTACACTGACACAGACTGTCCAAATAGAAATGCAATGTATGCATCTCATGAGATAAACAAATTTACTGCTTGAATGTACATACCTTCCCAATATGTCATTAAATCGTGGGTCAAGTTCAATGTGATATTTTTCAATATAATCATACAATTCTTCAGTTCCTAGAACTTTGGCAATTCTCACAAGCTGCAAGTAATAAAAATATAAGTCAAACAAGTCATACAATGCATTAACTTGTTCTGTCTTGTACAAGATGCAAGTGCACGCGTATTGGTTCGTTATACGTTTAAACCTAGCTATAAAACACACACGTTTACCTGGTCATAATTATCGTGGCCATGGAAAAACGGTTCTTTTCTGAAAATCTGAAATTTTGTAGATTATTTGCAAATTATTTTTCTTTTCTTAGTGGGTTGCATTAGAAAGGACAAAATGTGGATGACATCCCAGTATATATTGAGGTTTTAGCTAATTTTGTAATTAAGGTGTAACAAGGCTTTTCCAAACAGGGAAACTTGAAATTTGCATGAAGTGAATTATTACAGGTCAGCAATCTAAAGTGTCTGTCACTGTTTTTTCCCTCTTTTCTTAATATTGCATATATAAACATTTGTTGTGAAACCTACCATGCTTGCTAACATACAACCAAAACTCCACATATCCAGAGAGTAATCATATTCCTGAATGAAAAGACAAAGTCCAAAAATATTGAAAATACAGTCACTTTATCAATCAAATGCTGATCTGATTGAAACTCAAACTGTTGTGAAAAAATTAAAGTTTCAAGTGAGCTTATCTACGATTGTTCATCTTTTGACACAAATAATCAAATTACACTGTATGCAAGACCAACAGACTTCAATAAAACTGTGATCATTTATACCTGGTGGTCAACAAGAAGTTCTGGTCCTTTGAAATATCTTGATGCCACCCGAACATTATATTCTTGGTTTTGATGATAAAACTCAGCCAAACCCCAGTCAATAAGTCGTAGCTAAAAATTCAAATTTTAAAACATCAATACAATGTTAATAGCTCTATCTGTTCTAAATTGTTCTCTCTAGAGACTTAGTAAGGAATATTCAAGTAATATCTGTGATTGGTCTAGTGTTACTATACAAACAGGAGTGCCAAGTGCCTTAAACCTTTAAAGTGCAATGCATCCTGATGTGCCCTACTTTATTATTTTACTCTATACAAGGTCCAACAATGTCTCACTAGATCTAACAATGACTAATGAGGTCCATAAATATTTAACAATGTGTAATGGGGTCTAACAATGTCTAATGAAGTCTAATGAGGTTTGACAATGCCTAATGTGATCTAATGAGGTCAAACAATGTGCAACAAGGTGTAACAAGGTACCTTTTTCTTCTCGTGATCAATCATAACATTGTGTGGTTTTACGTCTCGATGCATTATTCCCATGCTATGACAGAAATCTAATGCCTAAGAAAAACAATGGATGTTTTTATGTGGCTATCCACAAGCACTATTCTGCAACAGATGGTAGTCAATCGATGGCAGTGCTGGAAAATGTCCGACAGCGCCAGCAGCACCGCTGCCAGGAAATGTTTAACAAAATATCTTCGCAGGAAATTTTCTTGCACTTTGTAGGAAATTTTTGTCATCTTATATACAGGAATGCCATTTTGCAAGTCGAGATGTGCAGCATCATAGTCCACACACTCTCTGAAATTTACATTTTATAGTTGACTTACATACACAGGAAATTTTAATTTTTGAATTTTGCTGCCAGGAAGATAAATATATTTTCTAGGCCTGATCGATGGTTATCAAAATAAGAAAATAATGTTAATTATTTGGTAGTGAATTAATACTGTACAATTTCTGAAGTTGCCCTCAACAGTTACCTTCAAAAGTTCATATAAATAAAATCTTATATCATAATCTGTGAAGGTCTGGTAGAGTTGCTACAAAATAAAAGGCAAGAATTAGCAAGTAGTACTGTAACCTCGTAACTAAATAGATTAAGAACAAGTTTTGAAGGAGGTTAGCTTTTAAAATGTATACTAATCCCTTCATCTTCAGGACAAAGGTTTTTTGCCCAAACATCAAAATATTTTTAACTCTGTTCAGTTCAAACAGAATTTAACCATCTAAAATTTATGTCTTGCTTTTAGTCCATGTATTGGGTTTATCAAGGTTTTTTTTGTTTTAGTTTAATATTGTATTTTAAATGTTAAAGGAAACCAAAATTACAGAATTGAACCTACCTTGAAGTCTGTGTTATTTACATATTCAAAAATTAATGCTGGCGTTCTAGACTAAAAATTAAAACAAATAAGCACTGTAAGAGATTGTGTAATTCAATGGTACTTTACTAGTCGGCATAGTTTATACAAATATGGCTATTTTTCTATTAACTGTACAGCAAGTCAACAAAATCTTTACCACTGGGTCTTTGACAACATCAAGGAGATTTATGATATTTGGACCACCACGAAGATTTTCTAAAATCTTGATTTCACGTTTAATTTTCTTCTTCTTCACAGGCTGCAAGAGGCAAATAAAACAATTAGTTTTCCAGCAAATAATTTTTCCTTTTGGAAAAGCAAAAATAATCAGGCCATGACTAATAAACATCAATGGCCTATCTTTTCTCACATGAAACTTTCATCAGTTTCATGTTTATAATGAACATTTGACAGGTTTACATCTGATCAGACAATTATGTTTAACCGTGACACCACTTTATTATTTTACTCTGTTGAAGCATTCAAGCCAGACAATTGACTTGTGATGACAAGAATGGGAAAGTGCTGCCACTCAATGGGTTAACATTCCTAGCATTGATTGGTTGAGCTGATTAAAGCCTTCAAATCCTCGTTAAAATTTTACACAGAAGCATAGACAATGTTTCTATTTAGGATTGTTTTTAATATTTATCACAAACCTTTAAGATTTTCACAACAACTTTTTCATCATTTGTGATATTTATCGCTTCAAACACTTCGCTATATTTTCCTCGTCCCAATTTCCGCACAAGTTCATAATTATCTTGCTGCCTGTACACACAATAAACACCAGAGGTGAGCACCCGGGTCATGGAGTTACAATCATGGCAAAAATTCTGTGCACTCTTAGGTGCAAACTAAAGTATTACTGTTCACATAAAACTGTCTGTACCAGTGTGGGTAGTGCCAATTATGTGAAATTGCTGTGCTGAGTGGTTATATTACTACCTGAAAAAAAAACAAGCAGAAACTCAACATTTCGAGTGAAGGCTGTCAAGAGTTAGTAGGCTACAAAGTAACAAACTCTTGACAAAGGGCCTTCGCTCAAAACATCGCATTTCTGCTTGTTTTTTTTTCAGGTAGTAATATAACCACTCAGCACAGCAATTTTATTGTTCATACACACATGTTGGCATCTTTGTCTTCCCCATGCATTTCACAAAGCTTCCATCTAACCAATTCACAGTATAAACTTTCAACATTGAACATGGGGGAGGGGAAAGTTAAAAAGTTTTTGCTCTTTTTGCATATGTATTGGGCAAGGCAGGTATTTCTATTATTGCACACGCAATAATTTTTGCCAGGATTGTAGCTTCTGGAAAACATGATAAGTCTCATACTGCAAGTTAGGAGGCTTTATATAATACAGACTTTACGTTCCTTTTATGCACCATTTACATAAATGGCCATTATTCTCAACTACAAATTGGCTCACCTTCTGATCCAATTAGCAAATTAATATTTCAAATGAACGAGTACAAAGTTAATTTAGATACACAACAAACTATTTTCAACTGTTTGTCTAGTAGAAAATGCCAGGTCCATTTACTGTGCAAAGCTTTCATTTTGTAAGCAGGGACCTTCAACATTATAAGATAGTGTTTTGCAAAAAAGCATAAATAAAATGAATGAGCACAGTGTGAAGATTATGCAAAACCTCTTGGAAAATTCAACTCATTTCTGAGAAGACATATATTTGTTACACCTGACAATTTTTAAGAAATACAATACGAAACATACTCTGAATAATGACATCTTGTGTTCTCAAGAAATGAGATATGTACAAATTCACACCATATTTGGAATATGTTTCATATTATAACTCCTCATCTGTTTGAGTTAATACTCAAGATATCGAAGATCTATGCAAATAATTATGGGTTTCTACTCAAGCAATATATTGCCTGATACTTGCATTTGCCCTTTTCATTTAAAGAGTCTCTAGTCTATCATAAATAGTTAAATATCTTGTACAAAATACTAACACATCATTCATACCAGTGTTTTTACGTTGAAGAAATCACCAGGTTTAAATAAAACTATTCTATTCTAATATGGGCTATTTCAATATTATTCTAGAAGGGCTATTCATCCATCTCATATATACTTATAGTGACCATACCAAACTATGGCAAGCATAACATATCATTTGTAAATATGGCCTATTACTACAAAAGATGCCCGCCTACCTATCTTCTACCAAATTCTAGTGTAGCTTTCATACTATCTTACCCCCATTCAATGACATGAGTTTCATAATCCCAGTAATCCCTAGGTCGATGATTATTGACATCGGCATACACTCTGGGTTTCGCCACTGCAGCCGACATGTTTGTATGTAGTGGTCTTAGATTTTTTACCAACAAACTTGAAAATTTCTTAAAGAAAATCCTTCCTGTTTGCTGTATCGTCTTTTATAGAAAATATCCTGTGCTTTTAGAGTATGGATTTAGAGTACTTGACTTTTTATGTTGGACAATTACACCACAATCAATGACAAAGGCTACTGTCCTTCGACTTGGCGAAGTACTACAAGTTACAAGCTTTGATGTTTGTAGATTTAACAAACAGTTACACTCCTCAAAACCACTCCGATCGCTAGGTTTTTTCACGATATCACAGATCCATCTTGTTGTTAGAAGAAACTATTATTCACGGCAACATAGAACGGCTAAAAAGCCACAAAAATTCGAAAATTTCATTCGAAAACTTTCTTGATGCAGCCAGCACACCCGAAGCTGCGGCTTCCAAAAGAACTCGTATCCAGGCTTCTTGCGAGATGTCGCGCTGTGAAAGCTCGCGGGGGCGCTTGGGAACTTCATTTAAACACCTAATTAATGTTCCCTAATGTAACAATTACTGTACGCAAATTGTTGATTAATTACCAAAAAAGTTACTGTAACGAATTTTTACATCAGATGCAAATACAACTGTAAATTATGACACATATGTTTTTAATGTCATGCAGATAAATTATTTGCAGGCTTTAATTAAAACCAAAAAACGTAATTAATTTTATGTCCTTTTGCAAAACTAAAAGCCAATATTTAGATAGATATTTTAGTGCGGTTAAAGAGTCTTCGTGACTTGCAGTCTCAATGTGAACATGATAATTTATAACGCAGTATACTACCAGTGAACATGAGGCAGGAACTGACCACAACAGGTACTAACACTTATAATAAATTTTTTATTGCATCCAATGATGTCGAAAGTTATTTGAAAATGTAAAATCTAGATGTTAATGCTTCATGCTTGGCTTATATGAGTACAGGCCGAGCATATGCCCCAATTTTCTTGGTTTTCTAATTTTTTGCAGTTACCCTCCTGTGTGCCCCCCTCCCCGATCGTACACCTATATTTTGCTGCATCAACTGCATCAACTCGCAAAGTTTACCATTAGTCAGAGTGTTAGACTAGCACGATAACTGTCTTGACGGTTTTTAATAACGATTGCCTTACTCGAAAGAATCCAAAAATGTTAAATACTCAACGGCTATTGAACAACAAAAAACTTTATGAAAACTAAAGCATTTCTTACAAAACAGACCAAAAAGGAATTTCTTATTGAAATGTCTTTGTGAATGGCAATTTATTTTAAAAAATAAACTCTTTATTGAGCTACAATAGGACTTTTCATTCACAAGTAAAACTGAAGAAAACCAGAATGGCAATAAAGTTTCTTACCCCCACTCGATGACATGCGTTTCGTAGTCCCAATATTCTTTTTCTTTCTGATTATTTACTTCAGCATAAACTCGTGGTTTTGAGCGGCCTTTTGCCGACATTTTCAATTTCCCTTTCCTTGCCGAATCTTCCAGGAGTTGTAATTCAGTAATTTAATGCGTGTCCATAAGCGCCTTCTTTCCATCCAAATCGGTCGCGATATTACACAGCTTTTAAAATAAACCACGTAATATAAAAATATACTACCAGTAATTTATGCCAGGCTTCTATAGAAACAGTTTAATTGTTTTGGTTTATCTATTTCACCTGGTAACTGATCAAAATGTCAGTCCAAATACTTACGCAAAACTAAGAGGTGGCCGGAGCACCTTTTTGCAAGACCCAGGCCAAAACCATTCCGGTGCAAGGCTGCCACCAAAGCCCCCAAAAACCTGATATTCAGATTATCAAAGTCCTAATAAAATATTTTTTGGGTGGGGGAGACTTGGGTGGTAAGAGTGAATGGAAAATTTAGAAACAAACTTCTTTTTTATGATAATCCCCAATGTTTGGAAGTCCAAACTACGGGACCATCAAACATTTCAGAAAAAAATGCAAAGTTGAAAACATATACAGAGCACAGGCACAGCACAGGTTCAGTAATATGTATAGCTCAGTGGTTCAGAACTTCAGAGCGGATATTTTTCGTGACATTAATTTCGGATATCTGTCGTCGGGAAGCGACTTTTTTCGCGGTTGGTGATCTTCAGAGTGCGAGTCGGGTTTCTGAATTTCCCGCGCTTTTTGTTAGGAAATCAACACATGTTGTGATCGAAGCTTCCCTTTAAAAAACTTCCAATTTTGCCATTCATATTTTGTCTTGAAAGCCTTTTTCGAAGAAAAGAAGTATCGAAATAGTAAAAATGCCTGCTAGGAAACGAAGTAGAACGGATTCAACAGGTTAGTTCGGTTAAATTTTGATGATTTACATGTAAATGTACAAAATATAATAGCGGTTTATATTTTAATTTTTGAATCGGTGTTGATAATATTAAATATTGTTGTTCTTTCATTGTGTGTTTGTATGTTTAGTACCGATGGATCTTACGTGAGAAATAATATAGCATGTTTATATTTAGGTGTATAATGTGCAAGACGCCAGCTCCTTTTGACGTGTAAAATTGTCTGGCATTAGACAGAGTAAAATAATAAAGTCTGGCGCATTTTCAGCTTAAGGAATTAAGAGTTAAACCATACATCTCCCATTGGGAAGGATTGCCAAGCATACTCTTGTCCTCTGCACTCAGTTGTTTAACAATCTTTCACAGCTCATAAGTAAAATTATGTGCACTTGGCAAGCATGAAGTATATATATATTCACATGTTTAGGTACTAATGGTACTCAAGGTGGAGGCAGTGCCACAAGTTCTCCAGCTAGACCTGCGGATGCATCCCCGCCTGCAGCAAGACGCAAAGTAGGAGAAACATCTTCTCCCGCTCCACTCCCCCCTACATCGCCTGCAACTGACCAAACTGAGGCAGGGGCATTTTCATCCCCCCAACCAATGCCACCGAGTGAAATTGACATGAGTTCACCGCTGAATTATGGGACACCTAGTTCAAGAATTGCTAATACACCCAGAGGGACACCGTATCCTTGAACTTTATAAATACCCAACTCCCTAGAGGTTCAGTTTGTTACTTGGCAAGTGTTATTACAGAAGAAATGTTGATAGCCTGCTTGCCGCCTGGAATTTCCAAGGGGGGCTAAAATGTTGAGTACTTGGAGAAAATCTGTGGTCTTTGGCAAAAACCCCTTTGACACAGGGATCGCAGAATAGCCCCCTCTTTTTCGGTGGATAATAAAAAATTACCGGATAAAATCCAGCCTGGCTGCGGGGAATAGCTTCCGTGCTATCCTGCCCCCCCTCCGCGGTCACTGTGACAGGCCTAGAAAATATATTTCTCTTCCTGGCAGTAAAATCCAAAAATAAAAATTTTCTGTGTAAGTCAAGTATAAAACTTCCTGGTCATGTGGATTTCAGAGAATGTAGGGTGGCCCACGTTTGATCAACTTCAATTTTGGTACAAGACAATCTTGACATGTAGAATTTTTAAAATTAAACAATAGAAGAAAATTTCATGTGTGTAACTAAAACTGTGGTTAGACGATTGGAAGAATCAAACTCCTGTTGGAGGGGTGGGGGGAGGGGGGGTGATAGGGGGGGTGATAGGCACAGGCACCAACCACTGTGCTGGGTGATTTCAAATAAAAAATTCTTAACATATGTTCCCAGTATTGGCACACCTGTTCGACATCGTAGTGACATCCGCAGTAACCGTAAAGTGAGGCAAGTTGCTATAGGTGATCAAACAGTAAGTATGGTTAAAACTACTTATCACTAAATCTCTAGTAAAGCTGCTTAAAACTATTAATATATCTTGATTTTTAAAAGGCAAATATACCTTTAACTCTGTTTAATGCCAGATGATTTTACTTGTCAAGGAAGAGCATGTGGTAATTGCCAGTACTCTCCCTTGACAATTAGTAAAATTATCTGGCATTAAACAGAGCAAAATAATAAAGGTGCAATGCAGCTTTATCATTAGTTTTGACATTGGTAACATAACTTTGACCATATTGTAGTCAACAGACGTGACAGATCCACCAGCGGCAGCGCCTACCAGTGACAGCACAGCTGGCCCAAGACTGGTTATCTGGGGAACAGATGTTGTTGTACAGGAAACCCAGGAGAAGTTTAAGAAATTTTTGCAAGAGTTTATTGATGAAAATGCTGAGGGGATGGGTGACGATTTTGTTCCAAACGAACCTCTATATATGCAGAAGCTGGAAGAGGTGAACAATATTTTTCATTCATCTCTCTCTCCCCCCCCCTGGTTGTATGAGGGGTATGTGTGTATATGACAGACATATCTTTAATTGCCCAGTACAGAGAACCATGCCACCTCTTGTCTGCTAAAGCTATATATCATTGAATTTAGATTCATGTGTTGGAGCTGCCATTCCTGAATGTTGACTGCGGTCATATCAAGACATTTGATCCAGAATTATACAGACAACTTGTCTCGTACCCACAAGAAGTCATCCCAACTTTTGATATGGGTGTGAATGAAGTGTTCTTTAGTAAATACCAGGAAGCGGAATTGGAACATCAGATTCAGGTATGTCATTCTGGCAAACTTCTCTTCTGCCTAATAAAATAATGGCCTGACATTCAGATTATTGTACATTTGATGAATATGATTTCTGATACTAAAATGACGTAATCTTTTCACTATTTTCTAAAGGTGAGAACTTATAATGTTGATCAGACCAAGAATCTAAGATCTCTAAATCCTGAAGGTGAGTTTGTTAGTGGTGATGGTGATATTATGGTGTTGGTGATTATGGTGTTGGTAATTATGATGTTGGTGATTATGGTGGTGATGGGGTGATTATGATGTTGGTGATTATGATGATGGCGACTGTGGGGTGATTATGGTGTGGTGGTGATTATGGTGGTGTTGGTGATTATGATGTTGGTGATTATGATGTTGGTGATTATGGTGGTGTTGGTGATTATGATGTTGGTGATTATGGTGGTGATGGTGATTATGATGTTGGTGATTATGATGATGGTGATTGTGGGGTGATTATGGTGTTGGTGATTATGATGATGGTGATTGTGGGGTGATTATGATGTTGGTGATTATGATGTTGGTGATTATGATGTTGGTGATTATGATGTTGGTGATTATGATGTTGGTGATTATGATGTTGGTGATTATGATGATGGTGATTGTGATGATGGTGATTGTGGGGTGATTATGGTGGTGATGGTGTTTATGATGATGGTGATCACTGGTTATAATGGTTGTGATTGAGGCAAGTAAATACTCTCTTCAATGTTTAATTTATTCCCATTTTTATACTTTGTAAATATTTCATTTTAGATATTGACAATCTGATATCTATTAATGGAATGGTTGTCAGGACATCTAATATTATCCCAGAAATGAGAGAAGGTAAGTCACTCTCAGACAGTCAACCAGCCTGTGAGTCAGTCATTCAGACAGTCCACCAGCCTGTGAGTCAGTCACTCATGAAAATTTTGTTCTTTCTTGTAGCTTTCTTCAGATGTTATGTTTGTCATTCCACTACGACATCAGAAATCGACCGCGGCCGGATATCAGAGCCAGCATTGTGTGCCAACTGTAATACAAATCATAGTTATGCCTTGGTACACAATCGCTCTCAGTACACTGACCTGCAGATTGTCAAACTTCAAGAATCTCCTGGTACATTGAAATGTTTTATGATAAAATATTTGTTTAACCCATTAACAAGAGTAAAATAATAAAGTAGTGCTACATTGCCACTTAAAGGTTTAATTACCATATTATTTTATGATTTGTCAACATTGTTATCAGTTCTTGTATAAATAAAGTGTTTGAAAAATCATTTCAGATGACATGCCACCTGGTCAAACTCCCTACACGATCACACTTTATACTCACAGTCAACTGGTCGACACTGTACAGCCTGGAGATAGGTAATGAATAGCCTGGAGATGTAGGAAGGATTGGAGGACTGAATGTAGGGAGGATTTTTGGACTAGATGGAAATTTCCAGTGGCAGATTAGACACAATTTTAGACCTAATCAGGATAAGCTATAGGCACTCTGGCAGGAATCGAAGCTGTGGCTCTGCAATTCCGGTGCAACGCTCTAACCAACTGAGCTACAGGAAGGCACTTCTCCTGTATTTGTGGAAGACTAGTTTCAAAAAAAAAGACGTCACCCCTATTGTAGAGACTGGAGTGTCAAATCATTGCCTCATAATTTGTCCTGGGGTTACATTCATTGTATACTGAAGAAGCAAAGCATTGCATGTCCCTTGTTATAACTCGTATTAAACACAGAATGCTTTTATAAACTTTTTTAATTTTTCAAATTTTAGAATCACAGTGACAGGAATATATCGTGCAACTCCTGTGAGAATGAACCCTCGCCATAGAAATGTGAAATCAGTTTACAAAGTACATATTGACGTGGTTCACTTCAGAAAGTCGGACAAAAAACGTCTTCATGAAAGTGACCCAGACAGCGCTGTGCGGTTCACTCAGGAAAGAATTGATAAACTCACAGAACTTTCAGAAATGCCTGACATCTATGAACGACTGTCGAAAGCTCTAGGTAACTCTACGCAGTCTAGCTTTTGCACATAGAATTTTGGTGGGTGCTTAGTCCTGCAATATACACTTGTCTGATATTTATTTTGCCTCAGTCGTTTGTTAGAACAGTGCTTCCAGTTTGACTTTTCCAAACACCACAGGTTTTTTCCAGGTGTTTCGGGTTCCTCATGTAATAACACTGGGCCAAAAAGGGATGACTCTTACTGGACCTCCAGGTAGAGCAGTTTAGAACTGATAGAGCTATCCAGTATATATAAAGATAATTTACTGTAGTTTAGGTTTCCTCCTGCAGTAACACTGGATCAATAAAGGATGATCCTTTCTGGACCTCAAAGGAGAACAGTTTAGAACTGATAGACCTATTGAGTATAAATAAAATTAATAGAGTTTATGAAACGTTGGTCCTGACGTTTCTTCTTGTCTTCAGCTCCGAGTATATACGAAAATGATGACATCAAAAAAGGAATAATGTGTCAGTTGTTTGGAGGAACGAGCAAGGATTTCTCGCATGCAGGCCGTGGCAAGTTTAGGTGACTGCATATCACACTTTTGAGCTTCGTTTGTTTATTAGCTGCGTAATTTCCTTTGGCTTTGTTATATCTCTTATCATTATCCTCTCTTCTCTGTAAATTTTGTTTTAAAATTCCGTTTCCTAGAGCTGACATTAACATTCTACTTTGTGGTGATCCTGGTACCAGTAAATCGCAGTTGTTGCAGGTGAGTTCATTTCAGAGACTACCTAGCACTCTCGTCACAAAGTTAATGGTTTTCTTGAGACGCACAAGGTATCCAATCCAATTGTCTTTATAATTTAGTACGTTCACAATTTGGTACCGCGAGGTCAGTACACATCAGGAAAAGGTTCCTCGGCTGTTGGTTTGACGGCGTATGTTACAAGAGACCCAGAAACCAGGCAGTTGGTTTTACAAACGTAAGTCCAGAACTGTAGGTGTCTGTAATAACTGCTTGTGAATTGGTGGGCGGTGGTTGGGGCAGTGAGTGTTACAGCATTTCAATCTTTATTGATATTTATGTAGTGGTGCATTGGTGCTCAGTGATAATGGCATTTGCTGCATTGATGAATTTGACAAGATGAATGACAGTACACGATCAATTTTGCATGAAGTCATGGTAAGGTTATGTCAGAAACTATTAATACAATACAGCAGGGAAGAAAAAACAGAGTACTTACCCATCAATTTGACGTTTACTTCTTGTACAAGATACAGAATTTATCGCTGACTGTCTCGTTGTTTAAAAATTCCGTTTCTAGACCATTCCTTTAGTTCTTGCATTTAAACATTCCAGGACAAAAGTAATTGGGATGACAGCAGAACATTAAAACGTAGTTCAGTGCAATTCTATGTAACATAGCAATGCAATTCTATGTAGCATTAAACAGAGCATATTTCTCCTCAATCTAATACAGGAACAGCAAACGTTGTCAATTGCCAAAGCTGGTATAATCTGTCAATTGAATGCAAGAACATCTATTCTTGCTGCTGCTAATCCTGTGAAGTCACAATGGGACACGAAATTGACAACTGTGGAAAACATTCAGTTGCCTCATACCTTACTTTCAAGGTCAGTAGACAAATGCTGTTGAGTGGAAGTGGGTTTGCTGACCAATCGAATGACTCGCTGACCGCAATATATTTATTAAGGCCCGTTTACACTTGCTGCAGTTTTTAGTGCGATTTTCTGCTTCTGATGCATGTGAACAAGTGGATGATGACCCTCAT